TCATGTGATCGCCCTTTTTTCTGGCCAATCAGCGTCATTTAGTCTAAGCGGTAAGAAGAGGTCATGTGATCGCCCTTTTTTCTGGCCAATCAGCGCCATTCTGCCGTTTTACATGATCCCTAATAAAGCTCACGTGACTGGGAGCCGGGACCTACGATTATCATGCGCTTAGGCCTCCACTTCGTTTCGGCCACGCGCAATAATAACGAACTGTGCTGTTCTAGGTGAGTCAACCAGAGAATTGCGCCATCGCAAGCAATGAAACGGGCGTATGATATCATGGACAGCAGCGGGGCCGCAGCCGATTTTCTCCCCGCCTCACGCCCATATCATCTCGTCGCTGCCCACGCGAAAACACGTTCTAACCAGAGCATCTGTTTTCTTCCAACTTAACGAATCTCAATCAGCAACATAGCAAGCCATGTCGAACGACTTCACAATCACTGACCTCCTGCCTCTACCGAACTCCTCGGTCAAGATCCCGCGACTTGGATTCGGAGTCTATCGCTCCCCGGCAGCGCAAACCAAGAAGTCAGCCCTCAAGGCTCTTGAGACTGGATACCGACACATCGACACTGCGCAGTTTTACGCAAACGAGAAGGAGGTTGGTGAGGCAATCCGGGATTCCGGTCTTCCTCGCAGCGAGCTCTTTGTGACTACCAAGATTCTCGCACCCGCCGGTTCGCCCGAAGAAACATATAAGAAGATTGCCGACAGCGTGGATAAGATTGGCGGCAAAGATGGATATGTGGACCTGTTCCTGATACACAGTTCGAGCTCCGGATCGTCAGGCCGGAAGGAGCTGTGGCAGGCCCTAGAGAAGCTGCTGGACGAAGGCAGAACCAAGGCCATCGGAGTTAGCAATTTCGGTGTGAAGCATATCGAGGAATTGAAGGAGATTGCGAAGGTGTGGCCGCCGCATGTAAACCAAATTGAGGTAAGTCCCCATGTGATTCTTCTGTGCGAGACGCATGCTAAGCTGAACTACACAGCTTCATCCCTGGTGCCAGCAACGGGTGATCGTCGAATACTGCAAGAAGAACGGCATAGTCGTCGAGGCTTACTCGCCAATCGTTCGGAATTACAAGGCCAACGATCCTACCTTAGTTGAGCTCGCGAAGAAGTACAACAAGTCGACACAGCAAGTCCTGATACGCTACGCATTGCAGAAGGGGTGGGTTCCGCTACCGAAAACGGATAACCCGGAGCGCATTGTATCAAATGCCGACGTATTCAACTTCAACATCGCCGATGAAGACCTTTCTGTGCTTGATGGTCTGGATCAGGGAAGTGCTGGAGCCATTGTCGAGGCTGTTGAGAACGAGTGAATCGTTTACCGCAAAGACTATAGTAATGCAATCAATGTTTAATAGTCCGGTCGTTGGATAAGAAACGCGTTGACCGATTGCAGCGTGCTGCGTGAAGGATTCACGTCATATTTTGATGACACGATCCAAGCAAGACGTTGTCGGATAAACTGTTTGCCTATTGTTTGCGTTCGAGGTCCGGCAAATTCACCTATAGCGGTCAGATATAAGTATGCGAAGCAACTGGCGAAACATTTACCGGCGTCGTTATAGAACAGGCAGATTATAGTAAGCAAGGTTCCTGCAGAAATATCCTTGCCAGACTCGCACATAACAAGCAGGGACTGTGACGGGTTCGAGCCCAATTGCGAGCCGACGAAATCCCGAACCTTGTCCAAATGGTTTCTTAGATCACGGCCGCCTTGTTTCGAGGATATACAGCCAAGGTTCAGGCATTTCGAGTTCTCTTCCGTGGTCTCTGCATTGCTATTGCAGTCGATGACAAGGTCATACTGACCGCTGTCAGCCAAACTAGGATCCGCTTGGCCGATATATAGATTTCGAGTAGGAGCGACAAGTGTCGCTTGCTGGCCAGTCCTTTGCCCACGGTGCTCCCGTGTTAGGTTCTCGATTACCTCGGGTAGGTTCTCCTCTGCCTGTGACAAAAGGGTAGATTTATGAGCCCAGAAGACGGGTGGTGTGAGACCATGGGCCCAAGCTTCGCTGTCGTCCCCTGCACCCTGGATATACCCACCTTCGGATATTTCAGCCCCATGAACTCTTTTGGAAGCCGAACAAAGAACGAAGAGATTATAGTCTTTTCCTTTGCCCAAGTCTGTTGGGTGAAAGTATGTCCGGTTGGCCCAAGCAACTCGTATAGGTTTTCCCAACTGCTGCCTGAGATCATCCAAATCAAGTTTGAGACTCTACAACGATCAGCCCATTCTGATTATTCGGGGTGCACTATTCCGTAAGCGTACCTTGAGTGAGTGGACGAAGCCGTCAATCCGCTTTTCAATCTGCGACTCTTCCGAGGCGCCTAAATAGTTTGGCGGCAACTCAACGGAGTGATACGCAGTCTCCGAAGGGAACAGCGCTCGATTGATGACGGCGCACCAGATTGGTACAGTTTTGGACAAGGCATCAGGCATCACTGGGCGTCCGTGAGATAGAGCCACAAAGAAGGGGCTAGCGGCAACAGTGCTAATGAGATGACTTACATTTCCCACGGCGGGTGGAGTCCACTATGATACAACTGCAAGGATCAAAGCCCGGTTAGCTTGAGAAACAAGGGAGACCCCGGACTTGTTTTTGAGGGGATGGAGTGGCGCACTAACCCTCCGTGCTCGCGGGCAATTGGTAGAATCTGCAGGTTTAGTCTTCGAAAGCTGAAGTCCCACTGGCCGGTATGGCCATCGGTGCTCTTGAAGTAGGCGCTACCGGTCTTGATATCAGGTGGGATATACCAACTCCCGCATCTTTCATTGGCGATCAGAGGGAGGCCGTAGTGGTCAGCCACCTCGCGGACAAAAGCAGCATCGGCCTCAATGGAACGCAGACGGTTGTTGACGGAAAGTGCAGATCGTCGCAAGGAGGCTAGCGTCTGGGATACAGATAACTGCTCGGCAGAGGGGAAGTGCAGCGCCGACACGGACACGGGGAAGTCTGATTTGGAAGTAGTGTCCATGTCTGCTGGCGCTATTGCATGAAGAGAAGCAGGGAACAGGATACACCAAAGGGGAATCGGTAAGTAGTTGGGGACTGCCTAGAGCCCGCGGCCAGTGTATAGAGTCGCCTCGAATACGAAAATATTCTATCAAGCGTGCCTAAGAACTGGTGCTGATGATTTGGATCATTCAACCGGCGAAATCGAACCAATAAAAAGCGCACAATGTCAGCAGCCAAAGTGGACCTTGGGACATGTCCAGTTTATGCCCGATGATTGAGGCATCAGCCGTATACTTCTCTCCGCAAGGATCGTTTGATATGCCACTTAACTACGTACACCGGTGTACTAATGTGGGAAGAAGACTGCAAGCGAGGTAGGTGTCTGCACCACCCTGATGCATGCATTGAATGCGTACAGTTGCCAACGAGACGGTGTAGTGTCCCGGGGGGCTGGATGTAGCTGGCGTTTTGAGGAAACGGTTGCATTGCAAGTCCATGGGGCCACGATAATGGCTACGAGACCTAAGCCTGAGAAGTCCATTACACTGACGGGAAGTGCCTCTGATTCGCCTCTGATTCGTGGCTTAGCCTTGGGTTGATACACTACGGGAAGACTCCAAAGGACTTGAGGTATATATTTGAACCCATCAGACTCTGGAACGCTGTACTCCGTATAGCGACAGGCTGTTTCTGACAGCTTCTTGCCTCGTACGAACGCCTAGTCCCAAGCGGTCACCTAATATAGCTTCGGCCGCGATTGATGCCATTCAAGACCCGGCTGGTTCGGATGGTAAACGGACTGCGCCGAGCACTCCCGAAGACAAAGGAAGTAGTACCGTGGGCTGAGAGCCTGACAAACCTTATCCACTGTCCAGGGGTAACAGATACCACCGCAGAAAGGAAAAGAACATGAAATGAGGCAGTCAAAAGGTTGAATGTGATTCGATTTGGTTCTCCTCATTGAGAGCCAGTTTTCTGCGCATTTCCATATCAAAGGCGGGGCCGGTCTCAGACTTCCAGCCAAACTGCGCTATTCCCAATACGCACGCTCAATGACGCCTGGGCCTTAAACAAACAGGCGTGCCCAAGGGCGCCCTCTGTGATAGGCCTCCCAGCAGTGTTAGTCAACAATTTTAACGGCTGTGCAGCCCGAAGCCCGCCGAAGCGGTGTCGCTGCGCGCGCTCTGGTCGCCAACGTCACGGTATGACCTCAAACCCCACCGTCCCCGCCCTTGCCTGGAACAATCACCCATGACATTATCGCTTTCCCCTCTTGAGCCTTGAGGAACCTGATATCTTCGCTGGGTCTGACTAGCTCCGAATCTACTTAAAGGACCGCAATACCCTCATTCTCGTTGCTTCGTTCCATTGCCTACTGCAAGCTTAATCCAACCAACACTTCTCTCCTCTCTTGTCCCCAGCCGCCCTCCGCACTTGCCACCAACACCCCTCCACCCCTCCACATCAACACACTTCTCAAGTTCTCATAGTTCATCAAGACTCGTCACAGATCATCCATCATGCCTAAGGTGGGATATTCTCCACCGATCGTTGATCAGGCGTCACAACTAACACGTTTCTGATCTAGATCACGGAGATTTTCTTTGACTGTGACAACACCCTCGTCCTCTCGGAGGAATTGGCCTTCGAGGCCTGCGCTGACCTCGCCAATGAGATCCTCGAGAAGCAGGGCCTCCCCGTCCGCTACACCGGTGAAGAGCTCATAAAGGACTTTGTTGGTCAGAACTTTCGCGGCATGATGCAGTCTCTGCAGGCCAAGTTCATGTTCGAACTCAGCAAGGATGAACTTGAGTCCTACGTTACAGCGGAGGAGGACAAGGTCATCGCTAAGCTGCTCGAGAAGGCTCAGCCTTGTGTTGGTGCCACCGAGCAGGTTGAGAAGCTCTTCGAGTCCAAGAAGTACGACCTCGCCGTTGTTTCTTCCTCTGCTCTGCGCCGTGTCCGCGCTTCCATTGAGAAGGTTGGACAGGACAAGTACTTCGACCACGATAAGGTCTTTAGTGCTGCCACTTCCCTTCCCAAGCCTACTTCCAAGCCCGACCCCGCCATCTACATCCACGCTCTGAAGGAGTGCGGAAAGACGGCCGAGGAGACTGTCACCGTCGAGGACAGTATCTCTGGTGCTACCAGTGCCATTCGTGCCAACATTGCAGTCATTGGCTACGTCGGCAGCTATCCCACTGAGGAGAAGCAACAAGAGATGACCCAGCGTCTCGCCGATCTCGGCGCTCAGGTCATCATGAAGGACTGGAGCGAATTCCCCGACTGCCTCAAGAAGATCGAAGAGGCGGAGGCTCCCGTCGCTGCTCTCTAAATCACCCTTTTGCTATCTCGGTTTCTACACGATGTCACGACAGCGGGCGCATTTTCCTTCTCCAATTTCGGTTATTTCCTCATGTCTCTTAATACTCTATTGTCAAACGCCCTCCCGCATTTGAGCTCGCCAACCTCGCAGGACGATCACACTCTCCTTTTTGCGACCAAGTGCTGACGGGGCATGCCCATCTGCGTTCCGCTTTCCTTCTACACCGTTGCAGAATTCTTCGGCTCGGATACATGGATTAATATTCATCTTGTTTGTGGCATAGACAGGATCAGATGGACAGAAAGATACCCATAGCCTACAAAAGAGAATAGAACTTTTCTCAATATCTCATTTCAGTAAATAATAAATACGCTCAAACCAGTAGGCATCTTGGACCCTTCCCCTCCCCCGAAATGAAGTATGGAGCGGGGACGGCAGCATCCACCACCAACCTTAGTCCGTCCCAACACTAAATGCGCTTAATCCAAGGGAATAAGTATACAGTGGGGCCCACTTTGATGCTCCGTAGGATTGAGGAAACTCAGATACTCCGTACGTAATTGATAAGCTGACTACCCCGTGATCTCGAAGCCATCGCAGGGACGTGTTCCTACTTCCGAGGCGCCGAAGTGCCGAACTACTGACTGAGAATCGTTGTTATTTGCTTCCAAGTATGTGCTGCGCTCTGTGCGATGCTTATGCATGAACCCGTTCCCAGCATCATCCTTGATCATTGCACGCCGGTACTAACCTATTTCCTGAGTCCAAGCAGAAACAAGAATGGAAATGCTTTGAGGCTTGAGGCAGGGTGAAGGATTAGTACTCTGTAGTTGTCTATATATATGGGATGCAGCTATTTAGGACTGAAGAGGCTAAGTTAGTCTTCCTAACTACTTACTCAAGGTGTACTACTGCATGACTACGAGATGTAGAGAACTCCTGCGGAGTACGAACAGAGCCAGACCGGGGATATGCAGGTCGTCGTCTCCGTCGTCCGTCTCCGTCGTAATCCGCCCTCTTCCTCCGTGTCCGCGTCCGCGTTGGCACTCCGACCTTAGAACGGACTTTCGATCAATGTGGTAGGTACGCTCACCGGAGTCCGGATTGACGGAGTCCGTTTTGATTGAGGCGAGACTAGGTGCCTGGTGGCTGGACTCACCGGGTACGTATACTTAGTAGTAATAGGTCACCATATGCAGCAAGCGCCGGGTGTGACCGTTGAATGTCCGCTGGGGTGGTACAAGGGGGCGATACGGAGTAGTAGTGAACTTGACTGACTGAAAGTACACATCTCCTCCGGTTCCCGTTGCTGCACTTCCGAAGGGAAATCAAAGTCCGTTCGCGGTTTCCGGGGGCTTTATGTCCGTTGACCTTGTGATCTCCGTCGCGTCCATTCAAGCAGCCTCGATGCGTCAGACTTGGAAGTTTGTCGCATAGGGTTGTGCATAGAAGTTGCAGTTCCGCGCAAATGTGCCAGGATGGCAGGGACCCCGCCCTGCAGCTCTGTTGATTGTTACATCGACCTCTGCCCCCCGGCACCTATTTAGACCTCGAAAGTCCGTGCCTGGGAATGAGCCGAATTCAAAACGAGGCCGTTCCTTGATTTCCAATCTGTGCTACCGGTCAGCGTCCGGTGATGATTGCCATCTCGAGGCAATTGCCAAATCAGCGAGGCAACATTGACGCATCAGCCAAGCTCCATATACCCCATGCAGACGACAAAGCAATCGGAGTCTTGTGGTGGAGTAGAGACTGGACAGTTCTTTCTGGAGGGCAGTTGAGACCCTCCGATGCCATTATGTCCCCACCATCAGCGGTAATTGAACGCTCCGCTGATGTTGAGCGGGATGCTACCGGAATTGATCGATCAGGGTTCGTCGGATACGTCATTGGGGTGATATCAAAGTTGAAGACTTGAACCCCGCTCTTCCAAGTGGAGAATGATCGTTTTGTACCGGCCAGACTGAAATAATCTAGATCACTGCATAGTGCATACCTAATAATGTCAGAGTGCTGAACGCCAAAAGTCCGAACGACAATGATGCTGAGATTCTGAGAGACACGATACATAATCCTTCTCGAATTAAAATAGAATCTTCACCAAGTCCGAACATGTGGTTATTTCCTGGGAATGATAAAGTGGGCGGGTCAAAAACAGATGAGGCGGTGGATTGAGGCCTGATTTCGGGGATTCTCTGCCTGCCCCTCGTTGCTTCCCTGTCTCCAGTTCGTTCCTACCGGTGCTTTGGTTTTTAGCTCTCAATCTCGATAGGCATTTCGAACCTAGGTCAGTGCGACGTGCAACGAAGCCAGTACGGCGGCAAACTTACGGTTCGCTTCTAGACTTGCTTGCTTCCCCTGAACGTCAAGCCACATTATCCTTTGTTTGTTGGAACCCGAGCGGTATTCGGAGCTCAGAATGTCAGACCCAAAGTACGCCAAGTCAAAGTTCCTGTCGAAGGGACCCCTGGTACGGTCAATCGCGCATGATTTCGACAGAATAACCCATTGAGAAAGACAAACTCTAGGACCCGAGTGAAGCAAAGTGGACAAGATTAGTCAAGACGACTTATTGCGACCCCAATGGTGTCGAGAGGACATGGGAATCGGCGGAAAGACAGGTAAGATCGGATGAAACGGATTATTCCCGCGCCTCGTCCGACGATCATGCAAGTAGTCTATGCCGGGCGGCTACTCCGTATTTCTGATGCCGACCCTTGCCAAATAACAAATAAGTTTGCCCTGAATGCCTACTGACCTCTTGCTTTCATGGAAACAGACTCGACCCGCAAACTGTGAAGTCGACGGTGTCGGAATTGTGACCATTCTGGACAAATCCAGCGGCCCAGAACTGCTCCTCCAGAAGCAATACAGGCCACCGATCGATAAAGTGGTCATCGAAGTACCAGCCGGTCTCATCGATCCCAATGAGACGGTTGAGGAGTGCGCTGTGCGTGAGCTCAAGGAAGAAACAGGATATGTTGGCGTAGCCGACGAGACAAGCACGGTCATGTATAATGGTGAGCGATATATCTTTACCACGTCCGTCGACGGCTAACGCTTGTTTGATCAGACCCAGGGTTCTGTAACACAAACTTGAACATGGTCCATGTTCGCGTGGACATGTCTCTTCCTGAAAACCAAAACCCCAAGCCACAACTTGAGGATAACGAGTTCATAGAGTGCTTCACTCTCCCGCTAGCCTCATTGTTTGATGAGCTGAAAAGACTTGAGTCCGAGGGGTATGCTATTGATGCTCGAATCGGGACAATAGCGGAAGGCATCGAATTGGCGAAAAAGTTGAAGCTCTGAGGTAGATTGCGATAGACCGATAGAGTGTCCATTCCATCACTACTCTCCTATGCTATTATGGATCATTTGTGATAGATCGACTGCATCGCTCCGCTAGCTCTTTTTCAAAGCTTGTTGTCTCTCTTCAGACCTGTGTACAAAGCCCAAGCAGCAAGGGTCTTTCCGTCTCGAATGCCCTCTTTCCATAGATCCTTCAATGGCACAACTTTCAGCGTGATCTTCTCCCCGTGCTGTCGTAGACCGGTCAGTTTTCCTTGCAAGGCTTCAATATCTTTGCGCGGCATTCGCTTGTCGCATAAGAACAAAGGTATGAACTCGTCGCTGCCACCAGGGGATGGATATACTGCTTTTTGGAGCGTCTCGCCATCCTCCGACCCGTCCGTTGACTGTAGTGCGAGCGAAGTCATGTCCACTAATTCGCTTTGTGAGATCCTCAAGCCTGTTTCCTCCTCAATTTCTTCCGCCGCCTTGCCCGCAAACGCACCGCTATCATCGAGCATACCAGCTGGGATTTCGGAGAACGCGAGTGAACCGGCGGGTATACGTGGCTGTACAGTCAAGACGGCCCATTTGTCGTTTTCTGAAGCAGAAGGAACATCGTCTGGTTGGAGCAGGAGCTATTCAAAGAAGAAGTTAGCTGAGTTTGATATCGCCGTCTGAGAAAAAATACCAGCATCCCAACGCTTCCGCCGCGCAGGAAGACGCTTCCAGGTAGACTCTCGCCGCTGGCATTGGATACGTCTACTTTGAGTTTCACGAAGCCCAGCCTCCCGCCTTTGAAGAAATCCACCGCTTGCACATCGATCTTGCGTAGAACAAAAGGGTCGGTATGAAACTCGTGCGATGGGTGTTTCTGGCGGCCCAAGGAGCGTTGCAATGTAGCAAACCAAACACGGAAGGCTGGAAATCGCGACAATTCCTCTTTGGATAGCTCCGATGGGCAGCTAACGGGTAAGGAGTCTAGACCATGGTCGGGAATGCTGGTAGATGTCGACATGGCCGCGACTGGAATCTGCGGTCGCAAGGAGGTAAAGGCAAAGCGCTGCCACGGCTTGAGTCCTCGGAGCATGAGCCAAGGGTCACGGCCCTTCGAACACAGGTAGCAGGGTTGGAGGTTGGAGGTTTGAAAGTAATGGTCGTGTCAGTCTCGCATCAGCCCACCAGGTGTCTGAGCTCGTTTGTTCCAGCGAGAGATAATATTTGTACCGTTAAAGGATGACGTCTGGGTCGGGGGTTGCGGGAACCAACGAGCCCACCAGAGCTGTCGGATCGTGATCGCCCAGACCCCGACAATCATCATCGTTTGATCAATGATCTTTCCCCCTTTGAGCTAAGCTATCGTTTCGCCTCAAATGTAAGGAATCTTCCTTGCCAGCTCCCAGCCGAAGGAAAACGCACCATGCTCCGAGTCTCCGACTGGCGCCTTTGTGCTGGGAGCTGCTGCCTTTGACTGCCAGACTGCCAGTCTGCCAGATCATCTTGCGGGGTCGGACCACCACTTGCGGTGCTGACTTCCGTCTGGCTGGCTGACTCGAGAGGATTCCTCCCTGTACGGAGGTTCATTTATCATTTAATTATTTCCTGCCCTCTCGGCTAGACTCTAGTTCTTTTCTCGCTTTGCCCCTTTCCCCCTGCACCTCGCAACCTTCCAGCAAATGGGATCCCGTGGTTGCATGGCCTAGATGTGCGCTGACCTTAAGTACGTACCAGCCTCATTGGTGGTAGTGGTCCCAGCCTAGAGGGAGTCTCCTCAGGTCGACTGACCTCTGGGACTTTTTTTTCCATTTCATTGCTGCTCACTGACCTGCAGCCACAACCGCGCTTTCGCCCTGACCTCACTGATGACGAGTTGAAGCCAAACTTGTCCAAATCACACTGCGAGTCCTAGCAACCGGCTGTCAACGGCTCCTTCACTGTTACTCAGGCCTCTTGTCTTCGCTGTTCCTCTTGGGCCTGAATGTGATCGGTCCACAGCACCAAAACAAAAATAGGAGAGGAGTGAATAGAAGCGCAGTGAATACGCCTGTCCAGGCTTGTCTGCATTACAGCCTGGTTGTTTCACAGATCACAGAGCCGCCTTCTGGTCTTCTGTGAATTGCCTTGGATTGCTACTCTATATATTGCCTCTGCCCGAGCTCCATTTCTCAAGACTGCATATCCCCGAACTGCCATGGCCGCCCGAGTGCTTGTTCTCTAGTAGCCAGTCCCTTGGAACTGTTCAACCATCGTCAAAAGTTACTCTTCGGACTATCCTGTAATTCTACAGAGCTTCGCACTGAGTGTTCTGGCAACTCAAACCCGTGGCCCGTCTGGTCTATCCGCAGAGGTAGAGCATCCACTCACAGATTTTCCTCCTTGCCTGTCAAATGCGTCGCCAACATTAGGTGTTGAGACATGTTCGAGCCATACATGAGTACAAAAATAAGCCGTCTATTGTCCCTCTGTTATCAACTCAACCCCAAGGCAACTCCCTTTCGTCAGTATCACTAGGAGGGATATTCACCCAGATACTTGGGCTCTTTTGGTATGTTGAACATCTTTTTGAGCTCCGGCAGGGTCTATTACGTTCACTCTGTTATCATTCTTCCATTGAAATGTCTGTTCTTGCAGGCCATTTCTCCTGTCCAAAATGGCTGATCTCAAATTCAGACCACCAGAATAACATAGATCTTGCTGACCCCGCTCACAATAGTCATACCACTACTTTTCCTACCTCAACTCTCAGCTTAAGCTATTCAGACTTGTGGTAGCGATTCTTCCAGGTCTTGGTCGCTCGCCAATATCTGCCCTTAACACCATCTGTGCAGAATAAGACCATTGATTCATCGTGGATCAGGCCATAGCCTCGGATAGCCAACTACAGTTTTGGCAGCTCGTCAACATGGACTCTGGATTTGCCTCCTCATTCATGCAGGAGCCTAGCTTTCAAACTCTCGGAGTCTCCGGCATATCTCTACCCAGTGACTATGATCCTACACAGCCTCTCGACCCAGGCCCTATCTACGAATTCATGTCGTCGAGCTCGAACGTACAAGGTAAGGACATTTCGCGCTCTTCAAGTCAGTCATGCTGATCTGGTCTCCTACAGATTTGCCTATGCCGCAATACAGCGAGGCTTTTCCTTCAAGCAACGGAACTTCAACAGTGGACAGTGGGTCATCTGGATATTCTACCCAACCTCCCGTAACCACTGGGACTTTTGCGAACACGAGTACAAACACAAATCACCCATACGACACGCTCTCTACTACACCAAACATGTTCGAGGATCTTACACGGCAGTGGTCTACTGTCACGCAACCTCCAAGTGGTCCTCCAGCGGTCGGTGCGATGCCTCGGTATAATTACTTTCCCACAACGAACACGAGCTCAACCCCCACTGTTCAGACCCCGATGTTTGCGGCAGCCCCTAGATCTTCAGGGACGCCAGGGGAGCCACGATCCCAGCCACCTCCAAACCCTTTTGCGTTCGTCATGGGTGCGGGGGATACAAATCCAGGAACAACATACCGCGTAAGTCGTAATGCGGCGGCATTTCCTACATCTGGTACGTCCTCGGTGAGCTCGTATCAAAGAAGAAACCAAAGAACGACCACTTTGGCGCCGACCCCAGTAATACCAGCTCATCACAGGGCTCGATCTAACCAGCTCTCGCGTGCACGAGCGCGACCTACGAGTACGACCTCCAGCATGACTTACAATCCCGCTTCATCCACACAGCAACAGACAACGCAAAGTCAAATGAGCCAACCCATCGCCAGCACCTCCCTCAATACGTCTACCAGAGCACGGCCTACAAATATGACCTCTAACACGACTTACGCTCCGGCTTCATCCACGCAGCAGCAGACGACTCAAAACCAAATAAGCCATCCAGCCACCAACACCGCCCTCAATTCGTCTACCAGAGCACTGCCTACAAGTGTGACCCAGCAACAGATGACTCAAAGTCAAATAAGCCATCCAGCCACCAGCACCGCCCTCAATACATCCAGATATGCTCCATCTACGAGACATATCGGGCGCTTGTATAACCAATCAATGCAGCATCAACCATCACAACATCAACCTTCACAGCACCAATCGACGCAGCAATCAATGCAGCACCAGGCTACAAGTCAAAGTCTTGAGCTTGAGCTTGGCGAAATCCTGCGAGACATGCCCAGTCAATACTATGCCATCGCCAGACATAACCCAGCTGCAAACAACCTAGCTGCGTCCATAAGCAAAGCGAAAAAAGTGCTAGCTACTTCAAAAGAAGTCCGCCCCGAGCCCAAGGAATCAGACGAGTTGAACATCAACATGGAGTGCAAAATTTGCATGTGCCAGCTTGTTGACACCGTGCTGATGCCCTGCGGACATGCGATTCTCTGCCGATGGTGCGCGGATGAACTCTTGCCTTCGTCTAAAGGGTATCTAAAGGAAAGGGCAAACTGTCCTATGTGCCGCGAACCCGTAAGACAAAGGGTACGTTTTTTTTGTGATCGGTATTTCCAGCTTCGCAAACAACTGACTCAACCTAGCACCGCATTTATTTCCCCTAATCTAACTAGGCAACGCAACCGATCACCGTCCCTTGACCTTCTGATATGACCGCACTGCATTGAACTATCGAAACGTCCTGATATCTTGCCACAGCTCCGTTTGCTTAGACCGGTCGGCGTTAGATTTTGGCCAATCTTCTACTATTCCGTTATGTCGCCTGGAGCGCAATGAGTGCACGGGGCAGACTGCGCCTCGACTTTCTTTCTTCATGCTATTCTCTAGCAGCGTCAGTCATAGCCGGGTTTTTCTTTCTTCTGGTCGGAGTCGGTTGGATTTGCATCGATATCCTATGAGTTTTGATCCGTCGCCGGATAGCGTGAGAAACAATAATATTATTTTCTAAAAGCTGGCAAGGCGTATTATGAGCAGGGTAGATCTTAGGCTATATACCGGGAAACGACGAGGCAGCCAGTTAGCTAGATGGCGTGTCCGCAGATCCCGGTAGTTATGGCGGCTTACTGCTCTGCTGTGCCTGCCGTCTAAGCTCAGATAGCGAGAGGCCAACGATCAAGGGGGCGTTCTCGCCGCGAATAGACAGTTCTTTAGGCAGCTTCACACGAGGCTGATTGGCATCGCAAGAGCTATGACTCAAGGGGCATGCAGGGCAAAGGCTCAAAGCGCTGCTGACAACGAAACTGATGACCTCGACCTCGACATCGAGCCTCTAATCATCCAACGGGAAAATTTAGCCTTGCCCAGGCATCCATCCAGACGGCTTGCTACTCTGTTGATGAATGCTTCGGCATCGCATACAGTACAGGGCTGTACCCTGTTGAGGTCGGCTTTGCCTATCAGTTCAGTTCTACATTTGTCACTTCACGGATCAGGTGCTGGGAGAGGCGCGCATAACAGGTCCAAGCTGGCAGACTTCGCCATACAGCTCTGCAGGTGTCAATGAAATGCAAAGGTGATCTGTCCATTGTGAAATCCCCGAGCAGCGAGCACCGTGCGCCTTCTGACACACCTACTGGCATCTGTTATCAAAATAAAGCGCCCCTTATGAACAGCTGGCAGCAAGGCCATTCAAGGAGCAGTAGTTGTTGTCCATGTAAGGAGATGTGACATGGAGTCGGCGTGTAAGTCGAGTCGATGAATGAACAGACCTTGGGACGAGAGGGTCATATAAAGCCAAGTGGCACGGCCGGCTGAGACCGGGAAAAGTCGAGGCAGCCACTTATCGATATGCAGATGTGGTACCAACTGATGAGATGCACAGACTTGGTGGTGTTCGGCCGATGGGCTCGATGCTTGACGCTTGTCAGGTGACGCGGTTGCCTTTCCAGTTGGAGGAGGCAACCTCCCAGAATGTAGAATATATACGGAGTAAGGCAACCCGTGGCGACTAGGAGCGGGAAAGAGAGCCATTCATTCCATTTCAATGACAAATGCTCGAAGATCTAGCCGTGGGAGCCTATACTGATGTCTGATCACCGCGGCGAGAGCCCCTCTGCGTACGGTATGGAAGGGAGTTCGGAGGGAGAAAAAGAAACGAGGATCGCACAAGGCAACCAGATATTCGAGGATTCGTGGAGCAGCCCGTTCATCTTCTCATCCATTGCTCATTTTATCCCCCGACTTAAAAGCATCAGTATGATTACCTTTTCGTCAATTCTTCTCTTCAGATATTATTATTATTCCTCCCACTTCTCGAATCCATCCATGTGCTAAGTGGACCCGGCAGCCCCTCCGCCAGTCATCGCGAGTTCTAGGCAGAGAGAGCTGTTTTAGTTGCCTAACTCGCCGTCTTAAATGCCCTCAGCTCTGCCAATCGAATCTACAATCCCTGCATTGTCTTTCAAATGGTTCTTTGAAGGATCTCGCGGTCTTGACTTTCTGCATGTTGGTTGATGCCCAGCCTCAAACTGCATTGATGTCATCCCTCCTCCTGCTGAACACCGAGCTTTCTCGTTTTCTCAGCTCCAAGATCCCCCCACATTCTATCTAGATTCCTCTATCAACACCCCTCTCATTGTCTGCATGTGATTTGGTTACCTTCGGATCCCTAGTCTACCCTTCGTCAACTCGGCGCTCAGACACTGAACAATCAGATGACGTGTTCCAGTACGCGGGTCAGCTTAAACCATGAACGAGAATTTCAGCGCCGGTAGAGAGGCGCTCCCAGTGCGACGCCGGTATAGCGGAGATCGGAAGAAGCCAGTCGCCAAACAGCCAGCGACCAAACAGCCAGCGGCCATAGGCTCGGATGCGGGGCCCGAGGGGAACAGCTCACCTGGGTGAGTAGGAACGCACCTCCGTCCAACGAGCGTATTCTTGTGCCGACAGTAGTCTAATTTTTGTGTCAGGAGGTCGCATATAGCAGTTGCGTCAGATGATGGATCGGTGAACTCCAATCGCCCTCAATACTCTGCTACTTTTTCGTACTCCAACCCCAGGACGGACGACTTGGCCTCTGATGCGACAAGCGATCAGCTTGCTGAAACTGCGCCCTCGGGGCATCACCCCCAGGGCTTTCGCCAGCCTCGCAAAGCCCCAGGGGCCCGCGCAGGGACGCCGCGCAGTTACCCTGTCAGCCGAACAGCGGCGGAAAACTGGCCAGGGAAAGCAGGTGCTGGCAATGAGTCTCGGCTCCGGTACTCTGTAAACTCGGCAGATGATCTAGAAGGTGGCGAGGGCCCTTCATCGCAGCCGCAGCACCAGAAGCTCCATTCCAGCTCCGTTTTGAATGAAGGTCGACTCCCGGTCACCGGAATTGCCAGGCAGGATGAGGTCGTCTCTTTGTCAAGCGCATCCGGCCAGCCATCCGAAAGCTCGAGCTACGGCCAGGAGTCCGCGCAGCGCCTGAGCAGAGAACAGGGGCCCGCTGGAAAGGTTTCGGCAGCTGACGGAGGTACAACATCATCTTGGCTCTTGCTACAGGCAGACACTAAACCTTTGACAGAAGAGGAATTAATAAATGATACCCAAGCCATCTATGCCGGACTTCTCATGGTGGAAAAAAGATGCATAGCCTTAACCCAGCACTTAACGAGTACCCCATTGTCCGAGCAAGATTGGCAGAGAATAATCAACACACATCATGTTCTGATAGAGGAACATCACGATTTTCTTCTAATCATTCAACAAGGAGGGCCCGCCCTCCAGCGTCTCGCAGAGCAATACAGCATGCCCAATCGCTTGTGGCGCGTTGGGATATATGGTTTGCTTGAGTTTTTACGACGCCGGCTTCCTGAGTCCTTGGAGAGAATGCTGGCGTTCCTCCACCAGGCGTACATCCAAATGACCATATTAGTAGACCTCGTTCCCAGATTCGAAGACACTTGGTTTGAATGCCTTGGCGACTTGTCACGATACCACATACTCGTCGAAGAGGGCGATCCCCGCGAGCGCGAGGCCTGGGCCGAGATCGCAAGGTACTGGTACCACAAAGTCGCCGATAAAAGTCCCGACGTTGGCAGGATCCAACATCATCTTGCGCCTCTGGCTCGGCCGGATTACACGCAGCAGTTGTTCTACTATACGAAGTCTCTGGTCTGTGTCGATTCGTTTATTGGCGCTAAGCAAAGTATTTTAACCTTGTTCAACCCAATTTTGAGAGCTCCGAGAACTATGATTGGGCTTCAAGAGACAGTAGCAGCGTTCGTGACTGCACATGCGTATCTTTTCAAGGGTGACTTGAAAGACCCGTTAATGCAGGCATGCAATGGATTCCTGTCATCTCTGGAACAGTATATCGGTCGAATGGGTCCTACCTTCAAACCCCAAGGAGTTTATATTTCGTCTTGCAATTTCGCCGCAGTGCTGGAATATGCGGCCCAAACTGCGCTTCTACCAAGGGAATTCTTCACCAATGCCGCGCAGTCGAAGTCTATGGACGATATCTATTTTGCATCTCACCGGTTCTGGACGCGTGTTGACGACCTCAAAACGATCGAAGCCGACTTTCTCGAAACAAGGAACTCGGAAACCATTTCGCCCGTGGTGTTCTACGCCTCATGTCTAACATTCCAAGCGTTATCGATTATGCTGGATCAGACTGGCAACAAGAACGTTTATCCATCATTCCATGCATCGCTCGCCTTCCTTTGGTGCTTGGCCCGGACGCCTAGCAGCATGAAGCGTGTCGAAGTCTTAGTACCCTGGAAACAGATCGCTACATTCCTCAACACACTAACCCGCAATTTCGCCGACTTTACCCGGATAGAAGAGGTCGAGTTCCCGAGCCAAGGCGATGGTAGATGGCTTCCCGAAGACTTTCTTATCCGTGGTCAAGTTTGGAGCCAGAATCTGTATCCGACAGGCTTCTTTAACAAGGCCCCAACCGCTGACGAGGGCCGGAATCTCGAGCCGCCGTCTCGAGATCTTGAGCGGATGCACAGGTGCTTATGGCTCGGTGTCAGGCTTGCTACGGTGCGTAAGGACGGAACATTGGTGAAATCGTACTAACTTTGAACAGTTCAACCGCTGGATGGCATATGATGCTACTTCACGGAAGTTTGCAGCTACTGACTTTGCCTCGAACCTGGCCGATATGGCTCAGAAACATAATCCATTTTATGGACAGAACTCACAAACGAGTTTAACAGTGGATGCATGATACAGCGCTTCCGATACTCCGATATGGAGAGCCTACTCTTTTTCCCGAGTAAATCGCGAGTCACGACGCATTTGACACAGAAATGTGCACGCGGGATATTGACTTGTTGATTATCGTCTTTGGATAGTTACAGAAGACTTTCCAAGCGAGGCAGTCTTCGGAGTACCTCCACCTACATTGTGGGGTGACCACCGTGAGACATGCGGGTATAAGCAAGGCATGTCAGCGATTGCTGGACGACGACTTTGACTGAGAAGCTACAGGCTTCGTGGGAATACTTGATATGTCCATTCTGTCAATGCTAGTCTAGATAATAGTAAGAGTATAAATACTACAAAGTCTCAAACAGTGCTCCGTCATCAGCTTACGTGCAACGCGGAGTATACTCCTCAGTGTGGCGGTGCTAGTGTCCTTAGCGGTGGGGAACCTCGCGGCCCGCCAACCTCTCCGATCCCCGAAAGGACAAGCTGGCGACAGGAACAGTCCTTCTTTATCACCCAAATATCTTCTCTGGCTGTGGTTTGAACTGCATGATGGTCATTGCATTCCGCGTCGCACTCTCGCCTTGTTGATTACATTCCGGCAACTCCTGTCGCATGGCCGGCCAGGAGCGCGTTGTTATCCCATGAGAGCTCTATAGCTGCTCAACTTGCATACTTCGTCATTTCCAGCATAGCAATTGGCTCTTCGCCCGTCATATACGTCCATCATGGATGTGTCAGCTTGGACTGGCACCTGCGTGCATTGCGCCGAGCTTTTAGCCAGCGTACCCCTCTCAATCATCATTGCCGCGGTCTGCGCAACTGCGGCTGGCCTGTTTGTTTCTGTACGTGGCATCCAACAATTGCTTCCATGTTATACTGACTCTGCTAGCTATACATCTTCTTATCCCTGGTTGCTCCGATCCCACGAAATCCCCTCCCCGAAGAAACGACGTACCGCACTATCTCGAAAGATGGATCTATCACGAAACCCGAATCACTACCCTCATGGACGCTTTCGGGCTCGAAGAAAAGCGACACCGAAAAAGCCGAACTGTTTATGTCCCTAGTCGTCCCAGCATACAACGAGAAAGACAGGCTTGGAGGCATGCTGGAAGAAGCAGTGAACTACCTGGAGCGGATGTACGGGACGCTCGCTAGCAGTCGAACCGAGGAGAAACCTCTCCGGCAACGGAAGGCCGCCAACGGGCAAGCGAATGGAAGTGCAAACGGCAACGCAACTGCGTCGCAAGGCAAGGGCTGGGAGATCATAATCGTATCTGATGGATCAACGGATAACACGGAGGAGATGGCGTTTTCTTTCGCGCGCGACCACCAACTCTCATTACATCCGAAGGGCCACGCCGGGCCTTGGACACCAGAGCCCCAGGAGGGCGTGCACATCCCGCCAGGAACAATCCGAGTCGTGAGGTTGGCGAAGAATCGCGGCAAGGGCGGAGCCGTCACGCACGGAATGCGACATGTTCGCGGGCAATATGTGATTTTCGCGGATGCTGACGGTGCAACGAATTTTGCGGATTTGGGGAAACTCGTTACCGCGTGCCAGGAAGTTGAGGATACGCATGGCCGGGGAATAGCCGTCGGATCTCGCGCTCACATGGTCGGCAGCGACGCCGTCGTCAAGGTATGCCAGCACTGTCCCACCATCCCGAAGCAGCCGTACAAATCTAACCATCCCAGCGCTCCAAACTCCGCAATTTCCTCATGCACTCCTTCCATCTAATCCTGTGGCTCCTGACGCCCTCCAAAACAGCCACGATCAAGGATACGCAGTGCGGCTTCAAGCTCTTCTCGCGGTCCTCGCTCCCAGATATCATCCCCTACATGCATTCCGAGGGCTGGATCTTCGACGTCGAAATGCTCATGCTCGCGGAGTTTGCGCGCATCCCTGTGGCCGAGGTCCCTGTGGACTGGCGCGAGGTTGGTGGTAGCAAACTGAATGTTATCTGGGATAGTGTGGGCATGGCGTGGAGTTTGGCGGTGCTGCGCGCGGCTTGGTTGCTGGGCGTTTATAGGCGGGCTTGATTAGTGATGCGGTGTTGGTAGTTAGGTATATGGGCAATTTATCGATTCCTTGATGGGTTGTTCTCTTCGTTATCCACGTGTAGAGGTTCCTTGTTTGGCTATGTTCCATTTGGTTTGCCAACCATGTTCAGTACCAGCTACATTGCAGAAATTGCACCCATGGACTCGTGAGTTGCTTGTTCGACAGTACGGTATGTCTTGGACTCAAACGTCAACCGCATTAGCTCTAACATAGCCAAGGCCATTTCTCTCTCTCTCTATTCATCGGATGCTGGGCTCGGTTGATGCGTCCTTCAACAAGGCCATGTCCAGCTTCAGCGAAGGCTTCCGCTCACGACATTGGAGTTCGAGATCTTCCATCTGGGTTTGCAGACTCCCCCGCGATTGGGGCTCACTTGTACTATTGTTCCATCATTCAGAATCGAGGTTCGGTGAAGGAACTTGGGGACGATGGATAGGTTCCTGGGAAGCTTTATAGAGACCGTTGGATGGTAACTCCCATCTCAGTCCTCAATTCTTTGACCCTTTCGACAATGGTGTTTCTGCAGGATGCCATGCCCAGGGACAGGGAAGACTCTCTCGGCATGGAATCACTGCTGCTCGCAGTGCGTCTTCAGTGGCCTCTTCGATTACGAATCCTTCCTGAGACTTTTGGCTTCTCCGGGCCCTGAAAGATCTCTTCACATGGAACAGCAAGTAGCAAACCCTCCGCCGCATGCTACTAGGCGCTGGCACCGCATTCTTCCAACAGGTCGGCGGCACCGACGTGATAGCATACTACCTACCCATCTTCCTCACCCGACCCTTCGGCCTACGCAGCCGCATGGCCCTGCCATGATCTTCATCTTCGTCTACTACGTCTTCTACGAGATGCCGCTGCTCTCAATACCATACATATACGGGCCGAGCTCGACTCGCAGAAAACGCGCAACATCGGATTCGGCACCTTGTTCGCGACCACGGTCAACTGGCTCTTCGTGGATGTTGTCGTTGTCGCAATACCCACCACCATCTAGAATATCCAGTGGAGGGACTATATGCTATTTGCCGTCCTTAAGAACGTCTTGATCATACACATTATAGTATTCAAGTAGAATAAGAACTATTATTATATCCGCCGAGTCCTGCCTCTGTATTATCTATCAATACCCATCCACGAAGACACAGATCAACGCCCAAGGAAAGAAACCCCATCTACTAAAACAAACAAGAAGGCAATCGTAAACAGCAGAGCTCATATATTACCCCACCAAGCGCAAGTTATCAAGCACAAGTGCAGCCCTTCTCCGCTTCTGCTTCGACCCTCGCCTCGGGTGCTGTCACTGGCACTGGTACTGAAACCGGCACGGCAGGTACAGGCTCCTCCAGCTCCTTGGCCTGCTCAATCAAGTCCTGAGGCTCGTGCACGAACTCCGGCTCAGGCTCGGGGGCGGGTTCAGGTGCGGATGCGGGTGCGGGTGCAGGTGCAGACTCGGGAGCAAGACACGCCCCGATCTCAGGGGCAGGAGCAGCTGCAGGAGCAGGAACCTCACCCAGCTCAACGGGCGGCACAGGAACAGGCGTGTACTGATCCACAGTAGGCGGCGTTGAGGTAGGCGGCGGCGGGAGGAAGGTCGGGGGCGTTGCAGGTGGAGTGGGGGTCTCTTCTTCATCTTCCTGCTCCTCCTCACCACTGGGCATTTCCTCCCCGGTGACCTCCGGCTCCGGCTCTGGTTCGTCGTAGCTCTCCTGATACGTATACGTATTCTCAAAGTAACCCCCCAGACTCACGGCGGGCCCATCCGGGATCGCAATGTTCGTGTTCGAGCCTGCCTCCGTGTACCCGGTCTCCTCTGAGGTGCTTGAACCGGGGCTTCCGGGGCTAGAGGTCTGGGTCTCGGTGTACGTGTTTGTGAAGTAGTCGTTGGTGTTGTAGGATGGGCCGTCGGGGATGCTGATGCCTGTGTTGCTGCCGGCGTTTGTGACGGTATTCAGGCTTGAGGAGCTGGTTTGTCTGCGGGTGACGGTGTTGGAAACGGGGACGGAGAAGACGGTGGATGGTGTGAGGAGGAGGATGGTTAGGAGGGTCTTCATGGTGGGCTTTGAGGGCATGGTGGTGGTATCAGTGTGTGTGTGTGAGTGTGTATTGGATGACGAGGCTGATGGTTGGATGGATGGACAAATGAAGGTAATGAGGGAGTAGCTTGGTGTTGGTGAACAAGGAGTTCTTGAAAGAGTGTAGATAGAGTATTATAGAGAGCGACAGGTTGGTAGAAAAGGAATGAATAGATGCTTGATGGTAGCTACAGACTCTCGGCTCGAAGAGCCCCCTTATATACCCTAACTCCCATCGACAATGCATCCTTTCGGAACAATCACAAGGGCATTGTCCTTACCTACTTGCAAGGTCGTCAAACCGAAAGCCCTTGATTCCTTTACCCTCAGAGTGTTTCATACGGACGAACACAAGGCTTGTAATCAGCGAGCATGAGCAGCGAATAGATGGTGTTCGTCTGTATACATGTTTCAAATCTCCCAATGGGGCTGAGACAGATGTAAGGGGTGAAGGGGTTGGTTTGCTCGTGATGCTGATAGTCAGGTACTTTACCTAGATCAGAGAGAAGGGATGAGACGGGTAGACCGGAGAAATATCAATGACAGTGACATCGTTTATTGTGCGTGTACATACATCATCCCATTATCGTAATGGGCCATCAGTCGAGACGTGAGTCATGGTATGGTAGTCAGACAAGGAAGAAAGCAGACCTGGGTTAAAGGGAGCCCGGCTGCAATGCTAATGGAGTATATGGAAACAAACGATTTCACAAATATGTCGTTAAATGGACCGTCCAAATGCAGTGCCAAAATTCGTAGTGTTCTTGAACTTGATCTCGGGGACTTCCTCGCCCGTACCCTGACCAGCGGGATTCTCGGGCTCGTCCTCATCCTCATCCTCCTTCTCCTTGTGGCCGAGGATCTGCTTCGCCTGGCCAAGAAGCTTCATGTCAACCTCTTGGAGGAAGTCATCATCATGCCCCTTCTCGTTAAGCAGGGATAACGGCCCCTTGAGGGCTGGATCATCTGGGAGATCTACGACATCAACTCCGGCGAAATATGAATCGCCGCGCTCTGTAGGCTGGATCAGCCGGGTAACGGGTGGAGAAAGGGGGTCTTCGTCGAAAAGGACCCCGCCCGGTGATCCCTGTGCTGTGTCGATATCGCGATCGATGACTACCATCGGGGTGTGTCCAGCATCCCTGACAAGGTTTGTCTCGGGCGGCCCTAGGTCTGAGAGCTTAAGCTTTACGCTGTTGCGGCGGTCCATGGATGGTCGTTCTCGCTCCCGGCCGTGTGAGGAAGAGGTAGGTGATGGTTCGCGGGACGAGGGTGATGGTGGTGTCATGACGCGGGCCACGACGTCGGGGTGGAGAGCTGATGATTTAAGGGTGATGCCGTCGAGGCTGCTGTCGAGCTTCTCGATCGGCACGGGGATGCTGGCCTGTAGTTCAGTTGCATGGGATTTCGGCGAGAGGGCTGCGTCTAGGGATGGCGGGGGTAGCGACGGGCTTCCCCCTTGCTCTGATGGATGTAGATGCAGGTGGTTGAGGCTGCTATCTGATTTCTCCTGGTCGGGAAAGACCCTTGTAGGTCTGCTCATGGGACTTGACCCCTCCCATACCTGTGAAGGGGAGCTCGTAGAAGGAAAGCTGGTCGGCGGTCCTGCGCCGGTCGCAGTTGCAACGCCCCTGCTTTTCAACAGAGCCTCAAGCTCAGTGATTCTCGTCTTCAGCAGCTCTCGCTCCTTTTCCCATAACTGTCGTTCCTCCGCGAAAAGAATCCGCTCGCGATCGAAATTTATCCGCTGGCGGTCAACCAGTGACCGCGAAGCTTCGAGATAGCCGATCGCCAGAGCGGGAAGCGTCTCCTTTGCCATCTCAAGGGAGCGCGTGTGGTCGGGAATCAGAGTGGGATGATCGTTTGGCACCGATTGCGACCGTTTGATCGGGGTGCTGGTGGGCGAAAAGCGCACCTCCTTGTAGAGGCTGCCATGCCCATTTGGGATTCTGGAGGAGGTCGTTGACTTCATGACTGTGGTTCAGGTGCTCAGGCTTGGAAACGGAGACTGAGACAAGCCAGGGGTTTTGTCACTTCTGTGGGATTGTTTGCCCCTCATAAAGGAATGCTGGCGGGGTTATCAATTGCCTGCGCCGAATCAATAGTCAGTCGATTGACTCGAGTAGTTTGACGGTGAAGAGAGCAACGATTGACGGTGGAGACTCGATTCCCCAGCTCGAGCTGTCGCGGGAACCGTGGATCAATCACCAGGAACCAAGTGGCCTCCACCAGGGACAGTGCAGCCTTTGGGTTCACAGCAAAGCAATCAGGCAGAAAGGAAACAACAGGAGCCCACCTTGCGTCGTCAAGACTGACTGATCAGTATCAGTCTGATCAGCGATGGGTTCAGGGCTGAAATGGAGGGACGGTCGCGGTGCCGAGGTTGGTCCCGACCGAGTAAGGAGCAGCAGCGGCGAGGATGGAGGGGTATAGAGCGCATTATATACCATCACCGCGAAGTCATACACATTTCACGCACTCCCGATTTTTGGGACTCCTCGTCCGCGTCCTATAGCGTGGTGGGCCTCGCCGATCTGCTAACTCCATGACGTTATTATGCGAGTATACTTCTGCTCACCAGATATATATTACCAGATCTCCGCATCATCTGGTTAGCTTAAGCTCGGTGAGTCACGCCGTTTGCGGAAACATCTTCAAGCCACTAGGCAAGTCGGCTTCTCAGAAACCTGGTTGCTCGGAGTTATCAGGATAAATTCTCACATTAACCGCCTATATGGCACCATGATAATAATATCGATAATCAGATTGTACAGGATCGCTGCTGGATCATCCTTCTGTCATTGCGCAGGATCATCGTCCTCTGCAAAAGCAACCCCCCACTCCGCTAGCCTCTTCCTCGCATTTCCCATGAACGCTGTCGGTGCTCCCGCCCAGTCCAAGGAAGTTTCCGGGGCAAAGGATCCATAAGATTGACACAGACAGATGGAGCTGCGGGGGCTGAGTGCTTTGAATATTCCGTACTTCATACGGAGTACACGGCCGCATATAGATCAATGGCTTTTTCCCGATCTTCTCGAAACGTCATCCTGCAGCTCGTGCGTCCGTCCCCAGCCCAGCCACTGGAGCGGTCGCCGGCCATGATGTTTCGCTGATTCTCTCGCTCGGCTGTGTTAGGATTTGGACTTCCTGAACAGTGTAGAGGCCTTAGCAGACCTTGGAACGATGATCCCCGGGTTCGTGATTGCCGCCAATGAGGTGGTTGGGGCGGCTGGTTTGGTGCTATGATGTTCCAAGTCCGCAATTTCCTTGACCTCAAACAAGCAAACATGCAGGTCATATGTATGTTGAAATCGAGAAGGGTCTAGTTGGAGATTAGATTGATGGCAAACTTGCAAAGATTGGGTGAGCTGAACATACCTGGAAGCCTCCAATGATTCGAAATCAACACCGCACCCTATTTGGTGAAGAGTATCCTGGCTACTCCGTAGGTCAGCAAGAGATCAATATAAAGGCGAATATCAAACCGGACTCACCTCTGCAATTCAGCCCACCCTTACCAAGTTCTTCGCACGAAGATGGCCCCGATCCAAACCCGGAACCTTGCCCGTCGCACTCGCAGGCAGAAAGTCGAGGTCCATCTCGAACCCTCCCTTCGTCCTCGAACTGTTTTGAGACGCATGCTCAACGCCGCCAAAAACCCTAAGTAGAAAGCCCACGCCCCGGGCAATCATAGTCGTCTCATCACACCAAGGCCCCAAGCCCCCATCACAGCAAGCCGAAAACCACGGGTCCAGATAAAACACGACACCCTTCAGATTCGGCAACTTCTCACGCACAACCTTCGCAGCACGTTCATACTGCCTGAACCCGCGTTTCGCGGACCCAGGGCTATTATGCACGAAGAGGTACACCTCAAACCCAATAGAGCGGATACACCGTCTCGCCGTCGGACTAAGCGTATCCAGAAACTCGCCTAGATGGTCGAGGTCAAAGCCATTGAGGAAGAAGAGCGTGTGGGACGTATACAGGAAGTGCTCGACCTCCGCGTGGATCTGGCGGTTCACGGAGAGCAGGGCGAGCGTCCTGTTTTTGTTGCCGTTGTCGCTGATGCCCACCCATTTGGGACTGATGTGGAGGGAGCGGTAGATGGCGCGGGTGGTGTACTTGTTGCCCGTGTCGCTGATGACGATGAGCGGCTTGTTGTGCTGTGTTAGGGTTGTGTAGGGGGTTGGGATGTCGAGGATGTACGAGTAGATTTGGAGGCGGAGCTCCGGGGGCAGACGAAGGAAGAGTGATTCCGTCATTGATGTATAGATAGCACACTATATTATTTGTTTTGGTCCTTTGGGCAAAAGTGGTTGTGTGTAGATGGTTGAGAGTCGATCGTGGTTGCGAAAAAATTGGACGGCTTTAAAACATGGAACTTGGTGTAGATCGGGATCTAAGAGATTTTACAGAGATTTTATACAGGTACCTAATGGGATGATGATCATGATATTGTTGCCAAGAGGTATTTATCATGAAGCAGGATGTAACTCGCAATTGCTTCGGAGTGTGCATGGGTTTGTCAGGAGGCGACGGTGAGGCCGTTGATCAGGCCACTGCGATACAGTATCTTCCCACTGCGCAGACGTAGCATCTTGGCCGCTGCCAGCATTGTATGACTCGAGGATTCTAAAACAGGATGATTCATAACATTACCATATACACAGAGCAAAATAAGCACGTTTGATTTATTATTGCAATACTGCCTTCGTGATCGTAGCAATCGTATATCATCCTGAGAGCCTTAACGCCTAGATCAGAAAGGAAAACAAAAACATAACTCCAGAAATGATCAACAGCAAGTGTATGGATAACACATTCAATCCCGTAGCAGGAGGTTATACCCCCATAGTGAAATCATGCTCGATACCCGGCGTCACACTGGCAATGAACTTCAAGAACACAACAAGATACTGGTCCACGCGGATCGCGACCTCGTCTTCCTCATCATGCTGGAGAACTTCCCACTCGTCTCCGCCCGCCTGCGCCTTATCGCCCTGTCCCTGCTTCTGGGCGTCACTGAGGGAAAGGCCCTTGATGTCGTCAACGAGGCCCTCTAGGCCGCTTTCCGGCTGAGCAAGCTTGGCTTGTTCCTGCGGCGAGGCCGATGCAGCGGCTTGCCTGATCTTTTCGCGGCGGAGTTTCAGTGCTGCATCGGCCCGGTCCAAAAGTGTCTTCATCACCGAGGCGTGGCGGCAGGGGTGCACGCTTGCCATCTGTAGACTTCCGTCGAACCAGGGAAAGTCCTCCAGCGTCACGGTCTTGTCCTTGTAGTCGCCGACAATGTCCTCCATCATCAGTCTGGGCGGCAGCGGCTCAGATGGCGAGAGGTATCCAGAAAGGTAGAGACGGGGTGTCCGGTAGAAGTTGGCGTAGGTGATGTATAGGTTGTATGTCCGGGTAGGCCTATATCTGTCAGTAACGCAGCACTCAGCAAGATGACAAGAAACGTACTGAGTGGTGCTTGATGCCCCCACAGGCTCACGGATAATAGCCTCCTCATCGTCGTCATCCTCCATATCCGGAATCTCCTCTTCTTCCTCCACCTCAGCCTCCTCCTTCCCGGACTCATCCACCGTCCTCACATCCCGAATCGTGCTTTCATGGCGCTCTCCACCCCCACCCGTCCTTAACCATCCATCGTTATCATCGCCATCTCCATTGGCATCCCCCGCCCCACCGGACAGATAGTCCTTAACAATTTCATCGTCGAGATGCGCATCCCCCGCGAAGTTCTCGTTCAGCCGTCGGTGGCAGGGTACCCCGCGCGTCACCAGGAACTGCTTTCCGGGAGGGAGGTACGAGACTCGCTTTGAGGGTGATGATGCATCGCCCCACGACCAGGACGGGAACTTGTAGACGAGGTAGTCGCCGGCGAGGACGAATTCTTCAGGTGTGATCTGGCCGGAGGTGCGAAAGGTGGAGGTTCGTGAGACCGGGGCGAGCCGGTCTCGCCAGGTGGATAATGTTGAGTGGAGGATGTTCATCCTGAATATGATTTCACTCGACGCCTTGGGATAGGCAGTGGATGGATTGGAAGAAAATGTTGCTTGTTGTACTGTTTGTGTACTTGTGAGGGAGGGAGCTCCAGGGCTTATCGGTGGGATTACTGTGGCGGTCGCAGGAGATGCCTGGACCGGCACGCGGGGTACGGAGGTACATCATCATCCACCCAGCCATTCATTAAGCAAGCCCTGGATCATGTGCCTGTGGCTCGTTACTACAGCACATGCACCTCGATATTGAGTCTGACTCAGATCTGAAATATATTTTGTTCACGTGCAGGTTACTGAGCTCTATCTCGACCTTGAGTTGAGGCTGTATCTATGTGATTCGGACATGGCTTATCTACCCTCCACCTGCTCTGCACATCTCCCTGGGCGGCGGTATCTACTCTGTAGACTTCTTGAGCCAAATTCATTGTCTGGCAATGCTCGCTGGAGCGGCAGCTGGAAGCCGGTCCGGTGCTGGTATGTCTTGCCTGCCTCAGATGCGATCCGTGGCGCGAAGCAGAGGCTTTTCGTAAGCCCTTGAATAAATGAGGAACTGTTTATGCAGCTCGCTTGTTCACTCTCCAGCCTCCAGCATTTGTCTCCGCTCAATCTCAGCCTCTACTTCTTCAACATCCAACGGAATTGCGCGACCCTTCCACTTCTCCATTTCTGCTCGCGCGAAAGCCTCCATGCTCTGCATTCCCACAACCAAGAACCCAAGGTCCTCCCGATCTACATCAAAGACCTCCCACCACTCCCCATCAACGAGTTTCACTCCCCTTTCTCGCGCCGCTAGGTAGATAGACGCTACCGCGAGAGCGTTGGGCTGGTGCGTGAGATATAGTAGCTGCGGTGAGAGCAGACTCGAGTTCAGATGCTCGAAAGCTCTTCGTGCAACCTCAGGCGAGGATACACCAAGCGTCTGGAGGTAGGTCAAGGTGATCGTATGAGGTAAAGCCACGTGCGTGTTGAACCCCAGTGTGCGTAGAATGACCGACTCAATGCGCAGGAGGACTTGACGTTGAGCTTGGTAACCACCTTCCGTAAGGTGATAAAGCTTGGGTTCAGCTTCAGCAGGTGGCCCTTCTGGATTCACAAACCATAAAGGCGAAGCCTCTTTTGATAGTAGAAATGTGTAGACATTCAGAACGGAGCGCGGAGAGGTCGGTTGGAACGAGAGCTTAGCAGTCAGATAGAGAGCGGCGGCGGAGACATCCTACTCGCGCTTTAAGATTAGCGGTCATTATTTTTGGATGTAGTGTGAGAAACACAGACCTTTGCAGAGTATATCCGAAGACTTCCTCCCTCTGGGCCCAGCCAGAAACGGGTGAACGTCACGATGGCCTGAGCTATGATGTCTTGGGACAATCGCAGCAAGACTCCGGCAGCCTGTGTAAGCTGAGTACCGGCAAAGCGAACGGACGTTTCCAGCTCGGTAGGGACACCATCGATAGCTGAGGAAGAGCTCGTCAGTTGCTCTGCCGCCGCAAGCGCATTGGATAGATATTTCAGGCTGGAAGTGTCGCGCGGCATTTCGATGGTCTCTGTAGAGCAAAAATCTGGAGTAAAGTAGAGCGTTAATCAAGCATTCTCTTCGCGATCAACATATCCACATGAGTTAAAGAAGCATGGGATGTTGACATTGTCCATCGGGAAGATCGAGCTTCGTTCTACGGAGTATGAGAGCATGAAACTCGGGATGGTCTCATTACTAAGCAGCATAAACCTCAAGCATAAACCCTTGTGGCAGACTGGCAGTCCCCAGATAAACAACCACCGGGGCAGTAGAAGCTGAGCGACGGGGCATTACCAACCCGAAAATATCTAAGCATCGTGTCGGGCTAGGGAAATTTTTATAGCCCTTGCGAGGGACGAGATACTTGATTATCCTGCTGACGTACCTTACTTCCAGCACCAAGGAGGACTCCAGCTTTCGATTACAGCTTCAAAATCCAGATCAACACACCACGCAAGATGGCCATTTGGACCTTGTCTGAAATAGACAATAAGGGGCAGCATTAGGCGTCAACTAAGCATAATCAGTTGCTCGCAGCTAACTGCTTCAATTTAGATGTATTCTACAGTGATCTTGCACAGCACATAATCCAGGCAAGCCCCTCGAGAAGAGTTGCAAGATCCAAGGTGATCAGGAACAAAAGGAGACCATGCTTCGCCGTTTCCTGGCGTAGATCTTCTTACTTGTTGCGAATGCCATTCAAGGGACGCGCTGGCGTCTCTCCAGAAGGCCATAGGGTGCTACTCGGACGATATATACTGGCGGTCCCGAATCAAACAATCGGCTCTTCCTTGAGGTTAAGCTCTTGGCTGGCGAGAAACCCGACGGGGAATGCTTGTGCTCCGGATTAGGGAGAGGGGCTTGATATTTATTCTCACCATGAGCTCATGTCGTAAATAGTTATTATATCAGGGCGCTGACTGCTCATGATGCTTCGCTAGTCACACCAACACCCACGAAAGAGAATGATGAACTCAGTTTTGATATTTCCCATAAGACTACCCCGTAGAGATGCACAGATTACGTACTGTCGTCTGTCGGCCATTATTCCACGGTAATAATCAAGGTGGGTTGGTTTATTATTACGACAATACCTTATGGAGTACGCCTGTGGATGCTATACGGAGTAGTTGTTCCATAGCCCTATGGCTTGGAGGTTGCTATGTCAACATTCCTGCCTTCATTATCGGTGACCTCGTTGTGGGGATTCGAGATTGACACGGCGTCATCAATCATCATATCATCATCAATGATTACTGGCAAAATCCTGCCACTGGACTCCAACGTCCAATGTTCGCTTCAAGAATCTCAAGTATACATGATTCTGTTCTATGAGGGAGACCTACGGAGTACTCAGGAGAAGCTGCAACGTCAATCAATCTTACTCCCCGTTTCACGTATAGATCGCAATATTATGACGAGCCGGTCTGGACTCGAAACATCTGGGGCAGGGTCAAATAAGATACGAAGTCAGAAGCTACGGAGACGTGCACCATAAGTTTCCGCGTGTGGCTGTTCCAGGTCACGTGACCTAGAGCCAATGACGAGCCACGCTCAAAACCACTGGATGACCTGATTGGCTACAAGTCACGTGACTTTTGTGTCACCTGTGCGGAAACTGTCATGTGACTCATAGTCACATGACGTAGTTACCAGTTACCTAGTTAGCCCACGGAGGTTCCTCCGTGAATATAATCATTATCTCCCTTTGCAGACATAGCTATAATAATATAGTAATATATTATTTAGGCTATAAAAACCTAATTTATGTTATCACCACTATGGTGTTGCAACTGCGCAGTGTTGCAATGACGCAATCCGGCGGCCTGAGGCCGCCTGATGGAGGAACTTCGGCGCCAATCTAACCGCGCGCCAAGGCGGCGGTTAACCACGTGATGTATAAAACACTAAGTTTAACTTAAAACTCTAACTTAAAGAATTAGTAATTAATTCCTATTATAAATATATAACGCTTTTTTATTATAATAATTTATGTTTTTTTAAGCTTAGCATAGTATACAAAAGCGCCTTATAATTTTAATTACTTTTTTTTTAAAAGAGAACCTATTTTATATAATAGCTAAGTAATAAACTTAATCCCAGGGGCTAGTAAATAAAACTTTAAAAAAGTAATTATAAACCCTAACTTAATAATTAATTAATATACCTAAAAAAAAATTTATAAACTTTTAATTAAAAAAACCTAAGGGTACCCTTGTAAATAAAAACTAAATTATATAAAAAATATTAAAATATAAAGTACCTACTTAGGGGCATAAAAATAAAAGTAATAAAAAAACCACCAAGAAACTACAAGTAATACTAAACATAATTTTAGTAAAAAAAAAAAAATTATAGAAACAAGAACATTATAAAAAAAAAAAAAAAATATTAATAAATCCATGCTTAAATTAAAAAGGCACGCTAGTAAATTATAATAGCTAAAGCTAATTAATAAATATATAATACTTTTATTTAATTTATTAAGTAATTAATAATTTCCTGCTAAATAAACTTTAATATCCTTGCAAATCTTAAAAAAACCACTATAAAACTAGTTATAATAATAACTGCACGCCTTAAAAAGAATTTTTTAAGAAAACTACTATTTATAAAACCATACCAAGTAAATAATATTAAGAAATTTAATAATTAAAAATTAAACATGAAAACGCACTTTAAAACCTTTCTAACTTATTATTTTAATAATAGTTATAAAATATCTTAGTTTATTAAATTCCTAGTAAAAAACCGCCAACGTAAATAGTTTAATTGCGCGAGGCCGGAACGAAGTGACGGCCCGCGCATGATAAATTGTAGGTCCCGGCTCCTAGTCACGTGAGCTTTATTAGGGATTATGTAAAATGGTAAAATAACACTAATTAGCTAAAATAAATAAAGCTAATTAGCTAAAAAAAAGGGTAATTATATAACCTTCTTACTGCTTTAACTTTGTGATATAGTTTTTTTAATAATATAATAGCTTAAACCTTAAGTTTATAATCCCTTCTTCGCTCGCGGTTTATATAAATAAGTTTAGTTATAAAGTTAATTATATTTTATAGCTAGTATAAAAATATATTACTTATATTTTAATTTTAATAGCGCCCGGGCCGCAAGCCTTGCAGTACTTATAATAATTATAAAAATAAGGCATGTTTATATTACCTTGCATGTATATTATAGCTGCTAATATATAATAAAAAAAAAGTAAATAATTTATTATAGCTATAGGCCTTTTTAACCCGCCCCTTTAATATCCTTTTTTTAATAAAATTAACCTAAATATATAACAAGCGCGCCCACTATAATTAAAGCTAGATTACTAATACTATAGTATATACTTATTTAATAACTTATAGTAAGTAAAAAAATATTATAAAAATATTAAATAATAGCATGCCTAGTAAATAATAAGTTAGGTAGTTTATATAATTACTTTTTATAAACCCTAACCTTTTTATTTGCCTTTAACACGCCTATTATTATTAATAATATTTACTACTTTTATACCCCCTTCCACGCCCGCAATAGCCATGTTTTTACTATTACTTATACCTTACCCGCTGGCTAGGCGCCCGTAGCTAGTTATTATTATTAATAAAAATAATATTAAGTTAAATATTAATAGCTTCACGGCTATAAGCTTTTAATTTATTATTAAAAATAATTTACCTTTACCTTCGCGGACTACTAGAGTTAACTCTAGCCTTTTTATACACGCAAACCTAAATCACGCTTTCTTACCATATTTATCTCCCCTAATTAATCTTATATATTTAGCTATTATAAACCATAATTAAAAGTTATTAAATAACTTTTACTACTAGTTTAACACACACTAGCTAAAAATATATAGTTATTATTAAAAATAATGATTTAATATAAACCTTTAAAAAAAATAATATTTATAAGCGTTGCGTGTTAGCTAACTAAAACCAGGAAATTTTTAAATTTAGTTTATAAAATAAAATAAATCCTAGTAACATTCCTTCTTACCTTTTAAAATTAACATAAATTAAAAAAATGCTAATTACAAGAGTTTATATATTTATTAAGGTTTATTATATTTAAGGTTACTAGTATTTATATAAAGGCTATATTATTAACTTTTTATAAAATACTAGTTAAGTATATAAATAACTCCTGCTTTTGCCCAAGGATCTTAAAATATTAATCTTATGGCTATTTAATTTTAGTATAAACTAAAAAATATATTTATAATTTTATTATAACTTTAAAATATAGCGCTAGGTAGTTAAATAATGGCTGGATTACCTCCAGGTAAATTATCCAGGGTATTAAAATATAATTAAAGATAACTATAACCTTATATAGTTACTAAAGAATAAACTAATTAATTATTTTATTTTAACCCAGGAGCTAGCTGGTAAGCTAATTACCTTAAATAATAGTTAATAAGTAAACCCTAATAATATATAGGCGTTTAATATAATTATAATACCTAATTTATTTATAATAATTATAAAGCTTAAGGCATTATAAGCCATAGTAAATAATACTACTAAATTAGTGCGTAATAACCCTTATTTAACTTTTTTTTTATTTTATATAACACTGCTATTTAAGTTTAACCACTTGCAATAATTATTATTATTAGTATTTCCTACTTTTTTTCCTCGCGGTAATACAAAGCTAGTTATAACATGTTTATATAAGGTATTATTTATAAATTATATTAAATACCTACTTAAATATAAAAGTAGCTGTTTTGCACGGCATCCCCGGTTTTAATATATTTACTTTAATATAATTTATTATTAGTAAATAAACTAGTAAGCTAGTTTTTATATTTATAACCACGCGCCTAGCTAGCAAGATATTTTTATAAAAAAGCTATAGGCAGCCTTTTAATTAAATATAACTAAATTATTTATATTATTAAGTTTTATTACTAGTTTTTTTAAAACCATTCGCGGTACGTGGCTATTTTAACATAGTAAGAGAAATAGCTTAAAAGCCATGGTTAAAAATATTAATAAATAGCCTATTTCCC